TTCACAGGGTCTAACAACACTCACAGTGTACAATAATTCAATAAACAAAGAAATCTAAATAAAAAATTTAAATAAATTTTGAACGAATACACTGAAGATGAATTTTTCGAGACAAAACGTCTGAATCTGGTTCGGGCTGAGGTAGTACAGTATTGGGGGTCATGAAGGCTTGCAAAAAATATAATAAAATTTCTAGGGTCATATTTAAAAAAAATGAAGTTGATAATGGTCCTGGAGAGACGAAAAGTTACATATAAAAATTGATTATGCCATTTGATAGAATGCAAAAAGTGGCCATGAGAAAGTGTTCTCCTGTTTTCAATGTCCCCTCAAACAAGGCTGAAATGAAACAAAAACGGATTTCCAAAATTTCGGTTTTTCTCAAATATTTCGAAAACTAATCATGTTAGCCTTGATTTTTTAGAGGCATAATGTCCCCTGATTACGTAACATTGCTCCTATTTGAGATACTTCGTATCTCTTACCGTTACCGAGATCCCTGTAGTGAAAAGCGAATTTGTAACAGCCTATATACTAAGCGAATTTCTGATTTAGTATTTACATCCGAATGAAAAAATGGCTCTCTTTACCTTATTTTGAATTATTTGGAGACTACCTGCATCTTAGAAGTGAGTTCTATTCCTTCAGATAAATTATTTCTTTGAAGTTAATTTTTGCTTGAATTTGCTAACATAATATTTTTCTTATTTCACGGAGTTTTCACCATCAGCTTCAAGCTTTGTTAAAGGAACAACCTATAATGTTACGTGGTATGTCCTGGTTTATTCGTTTTCTTTCCTGAGACTGCTTGAGACACTTCATTTTTGTTCCCCTTCTGGGTTTATTTGGACCAGATTATACCCTTTTTCTCTTTGATATGATAACTTTGATTTGATGAAAATATTCTCAATCACTGAAAACATCGACGATTGTATATATAACTCTTCGAAATGATTTGATTAAAATTGATAACTGGTGCCAACTGAATAGAGAAGTGTAACAATATCACACTTTAAAACCATCAAAAATAATGTTTGACTATAATTTTAGCGGTGTCACTTCTGTTCTTAAGTCATATTAGCACTTTTTTAAACACTTTTTAGTGCCGGTTTTTCGGATTTCGGTTTTTAAAACTAAGCAACTACTTTTCTTCCGTGTTTATTTTGCTTACAACTGCTTCTGTACAATTGTTTACAAACATGTTTTCCAATTTTTTTTCATCACAAATATTGTTGTTTTGTTGGTTCTCCGCTTTCTTGGTTTGCGGTTACTAAATTTTGTTTTTCTCTTATTTTTTAAGGTTAATTTAAAAAAAGTCGTGAAATCTTTATTGTAATTTTTACTGATGTGCCAATTTAATCTTTTCAATATGCAATTTATAATTATATGCTAAGGAAATTTTTCACAGATTTTATGATATGATTTTTGTTTAAATTCCTTGTTAAAATCAAATTCAGTTTTGTACTTTACGTTCTGAAATAGCGTCCGCTCGCGTCTGGATGAGCATCTTCAGTCAGCATCTTTTTCTGTACAAAGTAATATAACAGGGTGTCCCGTTCATGTTTCAAAAAAACTTGTGTGCAAGTTCCTCATTGGAAAATAATGGGAGTAGTTCATGTAATATTATTTTTAGGCGTCCTGTTTCCGAGATACAGTGTGTTGAAGTTGTTACTTTCCAAATGGTTTTCCTTAATTATCTTTAAATCGGCTAAAGATAATAATGTCAAAATTTGTACAAGAGTAAACATCAAGTGTGCAAACAGTTTCTTTCTGAAAAGCAGTGTCGCCAATACAGGTAATTGGAGGGATACAATCGAAAAAAAAAGTCAAAATTTGTTACATTTCTACACGATTCTGAACATTCTAAAGCGTGCTACAAAATAAAGGTAAGGAAATTCTGTAGCATGTAGCATTTTCGAGAAAAATTAAGTTGCATAGAAGCAAATGGGGGACAATTTCAGCATCCTTTGTAGTATTTCGAGTTTTGTTTTTTAATTGTGCAACTATTTTGTTCTCTGTCTCCAAGTCTGTTTCCTAATATTTTTATGTTCTTATAACTTTTTTAAGCATTTATGTCTATCAACAATTTAGTCCATTTAACAATTAATTGTTTATTTTAGTAGTGTTAGTGTAGTAGTTTTACCATAATTTGTTTTTTTATTTCTCTCAGTTAATAAAATGTTTTACAATTTAACTGATTTATCTGATTAAGAAATTAAAATTATATTCTTAAATGCAAAGACTATTGATAGCTAAATGTCTTCAGTTCATTCAATGGTAACGTCCTCTTTCAATTTAATATTTTGGTAATGTGCTTGTGCCGCTCGATGTAAGCAATGCAACTTAATTTTTCTCGAAAATAGTACATGCTACCGAATTTCGACAAGTATGTCTTTTTGTAGTTTGCTTTAAAGATTACAAAACCTTTAAAAATGTAATAAATTTTGACTTTTAATACGTTTTTTTTCATTGTACCCCTCCAATTACCTGTATAGGCGACACGGCTTTTCAGAAAGAAACCGTTTGCACATTATTTATAACACACTGTTGATATTTACTCGTGTACAAATTTTGACACACTGTTATTTCGAAAACAGGGCGTCTAAAAAAAACGTTACATGAACTACCTCCATGCAGAAGTTTTTTTGAAACACCCTGTATATTTTTAACGATATCTTTAAAACTTACATTTATTACTTATTTTTTATGCGAAATAAATTTTCTTCATTTCATTATTTTGTAATAGCGCGTGTTATGTTAATTAATTTAATATGTGTGTAATTTATCATTAGTTCAAACTTTCTGCATTTAATTTTTGTAAATTTGCTGCCTACCGTTCCACACTTATTCAATTATTTATTTATTATTTAATTTTTCTATTTGCATTTTTGTAGAATTTTGTTATTGAAAATATTTTTTTCTATAATTAAATTGTTTTTATATGTTACAATAAAATACATAGTACCTTTTCCACTGCAACTATTGTCCTTATGACTTTAGAGTTTATATATTTTTTTTAATTTTGATTATATAAACAAATCTTATTTTGAAATGAGGTCTTGTTAAGGTAATCGCAGTTTTGTGAGGCTAGATATTAATAGCGACTCGAGAATATTAAAGTGATCGTATTTCGATAATGAACCTATGAACCACGCCATTTTTTAAGGAATGATTTCTAAGCACACATTCGTGACAGAAATTTCGAATAGAATTTGCAAAATAAAAAGTTAAAATAGGATTTGCCGACCCTGAGATTTCAAAGCACATACTTGTGGAAAATATATTTTATTTCGTTATCAACTGATGATATAAACAGCCGTTTTTTTATCATTTTTGACAAAATTAATTTGATATAATATGCTTAAATTTTATTAAAAATAAAAATTTTCAGTTAAGTAAAAAATGTATCTATTAGTTGATTATGAAAAAAATATTTCGCAAATACTTATATACCAGAGTGTTACCCAATTTATTTTTTTATTGGGAAAATTCTACCGAAACTTAAATATATTTCGACATGTTTTAATTGAAAATCAGATATACATATATAAAAATGATAAAGAAGTAAATCCTAACTTATTTTGTAATATATTAATTTATTCAAAATTTATAACTTATTGTATAATTTTAATAATTATTATACAATGCAAGTAAATAATTTACGAACGGTACAGCTTTTGCAAAAAAGTCCTGGTGGCAGAAAATTACCAAGACAAACCCGTGTCTTCGCTCGGGTTCCTAGACGTATTTAATTAAGGATATAAGGCGTTCTATTGAGTTCCTGCTCGCTTTCGAGTTAATTAATTTAGGCCTAAGCATTTCGACAATTATCGACACTTTTAGAGCCTATCCTTCGTGTGGTGGCGCTGATCCATTAAAGCTCGGTTATCCATAGACGTCTGCCTATAATGAATGCGCCCCCATCGGCAAATTGGGCGTAAGATAATGGACCGTCAGACAGGCTGCAAATTGGATTATCCGAATTAATGAAACAGATATGGATGGAGATTAAATTTTGCTTCAAGAAACACATGTATCTGATCTACATCTTACCATAAAATATTTACAGCTGAAAGAATATATGTATAATAACTTTGAACTTATACTACATATAAATGCATCTACAAATTACATTTGAGATTGCAAAATAAGGTCCAATATTCACAAACAGCAACACAACACTAAACATTGTTAACTAAGGTAAAATAAGTTCGAGTATGTAACTACAAATGATAAAATCTTTTAGAAAGATCTTTTTTTATTGGTACCCTATTTTGCTTACTTAAAGCACGTCCCAGTGTTTAAATCCAACTTTTAAAAACGCGCGTGTTTTAAAGTTACCATGGCAACATCAAGAACCCGAGAAACGTTAAGTCTAAATGTTACCTTTTTAATTATTGATCTGACAGAAGTACCTTGTAACGTCAAATAAACTAACAAATGTTTCAAAAGCTTTATTCAAATATTTAACATCTTAATTATTTAAATGAATGTGAAATGTGCAGTTGGTATTGTTTGAAATATTAATACTTCTGTTTTTTAAATCAGATGAAATGCTGTTCAAATTAATACAGCTAACATTTTCGGAAGTCGATAAGGTTGCAGTGGTTGCACTTCCATTAATGGCAATCCCAATAATGTTTGAAACATTTTTCTTATTGCTAATACTCTCTTCAACGTAACCTGTCGCCACAGCTGCCGATTTCCATCCTATTGTCGTTGGATTTGATCTATTATCATGCCACTATTCGCCATAATGGTAACGGACGTACGACGAAACGCGTGTTCCGTGTATTTCTCAGGATCGTCTAATTTGAGATAACGTGCAATTTGCAAGGGACATGATGTATTAATACCGACCACTTGATTAGTGCACTTCCCCTTATCATACCGTAAGAAAACTCGGTCAGTACTTACATTTTGGGGACGCAATGATAAATATTGCTTCATCAAACGCACATTAATTCCTTCGCTGTTGGCAACAGTAAAACGTCGAGCTTTCACTGTCTTAGATGGTCGGATAGTAATAAGCAATACGCTTTCTTCTTTCTTGATGTCATGTAAGCGTAAGTCGCACAATTCACATCTTCTACAAGAGCCAAAAATACCGCAAATGGATACCACCTTCAAAAATAAATACGTAATGTCCGGTGCATCAGTGAAAAACTTCCGCAAATAATATTCCTTGAATACACATGCCTTCTTCGCTACGTCATTCTTGCTAATTACCTTCATGAATGCATGCACTTTCGTAAATGATTTTAAATCGACCCCTTTGTTTATCCTCAACATACTTTGCAATTTCGAATGGATAGCCCACATAGTCGACGCTCCGTACTGCTCTAACATTTTCTGAAGATAAGCAAGCACAACTCGTTCATCTGTATTTGTTACCTTTTACTCTTCCATCCATTTGATAAACTTGTCGTATTCTTTTCTATAAGCGTTTTCCGATTTTTGCGGTATTAATCGCGATTTTGCTTTACTATTTAAGTAATCAATGGTAGAAGTTATTTTTAAACAATATGCAACTAGTAATAACTGTGGTGACAATTAATCTTATGTGACAGAACAGTTACAAATTAATTTTTGTTTTCTCGTTTCTCGTACAACGAAAGGTATACTGATGCAACATCACAAATTCAACCATTGACATTAGTTCTTATTTCCATTTTTTGTAGTATTAATACAATATTTATGATTTCAACGTGTACCAATAAAAAAAATAGCGTAAAGTATTCGTGAATAACTGGTCTTTAAAACACTTGCTCTATTTAATATCCACTTATACTTTAATATACTATTCTAATATGTAAGGTGATTTTATTATTTAACGGTATGTAAAAATATATAGATAGGGATGAAATTTTGTTTTATTTTCGAAATTTAAGACACACCTTTTAAGAAGATTTCCTTGAAGAAAACCTCTAGGTGCATAAACTGGTGGTTTGTCTCTTTGAAATATAAAAATTTTAAAAATCTTCGACCACTCTCAATTTCATTTATGGGCGCAGTATATAATATGCTTTTAATAACTGAAACATTATTATTTGGACTGAACATAACTGTTAAATATTAAGAGTATAGAGAGTAATCCAATTTAGAAAACACACAATTTTGTAAAATAAGACATAGTTCCTTATATCCAGCAGCAACTAATTCGTATGCAAAGTCTCCAAAAGAGAGCTTACAATCGAAAATGACAACAAGATCTTTCACACTTTCGTTTATTATTAAGAAAATTAGATATTAGAAGATTATGCAGTCTACTAAAATGAAAGTTTAGTTAAATGGAAGCTGTTCTTTGTTCCACACCAACACATTAAAGATTTTAAATTATTTTGAAGCTTAATTACGTCGTCATTACTGCGAACTGAAATGAAGAATTTTAAAGCATCTGCATATAATACTGTTTTACAAATTAATATTTAGACGTTATATCATTCATGTAAATATTAAATAATTATGGTTCTAATACAGACTCTTGAGGTACCCCGGAAGAAGCAACAATTTTGCTGGACGCAAAGCCACGATAATATACAAATTGGTACCTCTAAAGATGAAAAAACTTTACAAGGTGTTAAGATGTAAAACTAAACGTAATAATTCGTTTAAAAAAAGATTATGGTTAAGGCGAAAAAGATATTATGGCTAAGGTGACCTTAGAATAATCTGTGTATATAATGGATATACGATTTTTAATTCATAAATTGAAGAACATACATAAAGGGCGGGCAAAATATATTGCACAATGTATCAAAAAAAATTGCCGGAATATGATCCAGACCAGCAGTAAGTTCGGTTCAAATTTTTTAAGTCCATAAAGGATATCTGATGCATGAAATATATCGATGGAGAGGTGGTGTGTACTGTTTAAAGGAGCTTGATGAATTAGTGTGTTCATACTGTGAACTTATACAGTGATTCAGAATTTGGCCGTAAAAAATTTTTTGAATGTACAGGGAACCCTTACAAATCCAATTTTGTAAAAAAAAATCAAAAAGGATAGTTCGATTATAACTTAAAAATATACTTCTGCACGGCACTGAAAACCTGACCTTGCGCGGGGCAAGATGCAGTCGTAGACCGGCACAACGTGTAATAAAAAATGAACGACAAAAAATTGAACGAATTTCTTTTCTACGGAAAGAAATAAATAAAATTTTATAACACTTATTTTATATCAGCAAATTCAACTGCTTTTGCTGCTATTGTTATTGTTTTAATGAAATTAATTTGTGGTTTGAATTAATAAAATAATGTGACATGCCTGATGTGAACTTTCTTTCTTATTTTTGGTCAAGGAAACTCCCCCTGAATTTTTCCGCAATATTAATGGGACATCCTGTATATACAAATAAGTGTATACATTTGTAAAAAAAATGAGTCACCGTTACACTGATTGTTATGTTCACTTGATTTAAATAGCTAAAACAATATTGTAATAAATTCTAATTTTGTGGAACCAGAGTAGTCGTTAAGAGAATTAACACCTACAGGAGTCAAATCCTTCGAAGTGGCGCTGCACCTGTATTACTGGCGGGAATATAATTTAATGGAATAATAGAGGAAATAAAATCTGTCAAGTGTTGTAGAATTTTTTTTATTTCGTCGTTAATCTATCTATATATAAATGTTTTAACTAAATACAAATGGTCAAAAATATAACATCTATGATGGCATTATAGAAAACAAATACTTTAATATTGAAAAAAAAATCTGAATATTTAGTTAATAATAATTTAGATATTTACCTAATAAGTTTTAAAAATATGGTATTTTTAGTAATTAGCCATCGCAATTTACTTCTATTGTAATATTTGGTTTAATAGCGAACATTATCAGTAAAAAATTGGAATATAAACAAAAATTAATAAAAAAAAAAATACAATAAAAATGATCCCACTCTAGAGCCTATCTCATAACTTTGCATAATGAGAGACGATGTTGAGAATATTGCGAAGAAAAAAAAAACGCTACTCTTTTTCAAAAAGCACTTATTTGGTATAAAAATAAAAAATAAACAAAAAAACTGAAAATATATTATTTTTATATTTTTTTATAGAACTACATCTCAAAACGAATAAAATGACAATAAAGTTTATGTTAAATTAAGTTTTCGTCAAGTTACAGGTATTTGGAAAATTCGAGTTCAGTGATTTGGCATGAAATACCCATAGGCAGACCAAAAAAACTGAGTAAAACATTCCCAATTTCTTGTGGATCCCTCAGTTTTATTAATCTTCAAGGAGTCAGGAATTGTTGCTGTATTCATCATGTTAGGACCAACACTTTTTAGGATCTAAACAGACGTTTTTTCTTATGTCAGAAATATATCTCTTACGGGAGTCCACAATATTTCGTTTCACCTTATGATTACTTTGATTAGATTTATATGTTTTGTAAAACGCATTTTTTACTTTAATATCATGATCATGAATAATTGTTTTATTAAACCAGGCCATATTTGAAACATTTTTCCATTATTTTAAGTTAGGCAGTTTTCAATTACCAAATATAAGGATGAATAAAATATTTGATAGACATCATCACACTCTTCCAATATCTTCCAATCAATATTACATAAGTTATGATACACAATATTATAGTTCAACAATTTTATGTTGTAAGCATAATTATTGCCAGTTAAAAGCCTTTGTTCCAGTTAGGTATACTTGTTACCGATAATTTTATAACGAGTTTAAAGTTATCAAGAACATGTTTTAATTTCTACAAAACAGTACATCTTTACAAAAATGAATGATGTGGAGGGTATACAGCACACTGCAAAAAATGTAAACCTTGAAAAACGTAAAATTACGGCACGAATCATTGGCAATTCTGTTACCTACGATTCGTGCCTGAATATTACTGAGCTTATATAAATTTACAAAAAAGATGTAAATTCACATCGTAATTTTAAATAGATCCATACATATATTACTGTGTGATTTTACATAATTATATAATGTTACAATTTTAATAAGTACTAATTTAATTTTACCTTGTAAAACTGTAATTTTACTCTGTAAAATTGTAATTTTACATTGTAAAATATTAATGTTATCATTTAAAATTGTAATTTTGCAACTTAAAATTGTAATTTTAATTTGTAAAATTTTTGTTTTACACACTATTTTTACAATGGTGTTGTAAAACTATTTTGTGTTTTTTAGGTTCACCCAGTAAAATTGTATTATTTAGGTCCGGTACTTTGAGTCTCGGTAAAAGCTGGATTAACTAATCAGACTGATTAGACTTTACATATACTGATTTATTTTATAAATCACAGTCTAATCGCTTGATTAGTTAATCAAACCTTAACCGAGACTCAAAGTACCGGGCCTTAGAGATATTTTTACACCTACATGTAGAAATGCAGTGTATTTTCACTAAATATTGCATATGGTGTAAGTTGAAAATTTTACGTAGATATAATTTAGAATAATGTAACATTTAAGTTTCATACTACAAAATTATAATACATACCTTTTTTTTTACTTTTTCGTAAAGGTGTCAAACTAACTTAAATCAATTCCCATCAATGTAATTTTGTGCAGAAAAATTAAAAAGTGAGCTGTGCGCTGGCTAAACTTTTGTTATTAATTAACAGTTAATAAGTTTTAATACACACATTTCACATAAGATGTCACTAACAGCAATGCTATTGTACATAAATATTAAATAATAAGGTACTTATTGTTAATTTCAAATTTAAACTTCGTTAATGGGTATAAATTTATTAAATTCCAGTAGGATATGCTATTTAACTCCGTAGCGCTGGATTTAAGTAAAGTTTAAGTAAAGTAGTTCTGAAAATTTTTGTTAAAATAATGTTTATTGTGGACAACTTTGACTATCTGTTATCCGAAATTAAATTTAATCAAAAAGCAAAAAATATAATGTAATGTAACCTCCAAGTCAGCCGAGCTAACCCAAACATATTAGAATTGGACCTCTTAAAAAAGATATTAAGTTAGTTTAAATATTAAGAATAAGTATATCATTAAGAATGGGCAATCTCTAAACAGTAGTAGTTACTACACACCAAAATGTGTTCTGATTTACTGAAGTAACAGAGAGTAATACCCTGTACAGATAGCGGCAAATTCAGCATCAAATTCGTAATTCTCGTGCCAAAAAACATAAAATCACCAATTTTCGAGTTGATTCTGCTGAAAATTTCAAAATTATTGAGAAACTTGAAATTAAAATTCCAACTTTGTTGTTGGTCCAGTTTAGAGATTGCCCATTCTCAATGAATGACCCTGTATATGAGTATCAAATCAATGGTTAAGAATTCTTAATATGGTTAAATTTTAACTAGACACTTCTTGGTACACATTATCAAGTCAATAAAATCGTTAATTGTTAACAATTAAGACATTGCTTTTTTAATTAAGAGTTGCCCACAGTAATCCATATCTTTTCGAGGAAAAGAACTTTGTTCGTATAAAATAAACACGAATAAAACATAGTTTCGTAACTCCTAGTCTAAACTACAAAATAAACTATTTATTTTATTGTAAAGGTATTACACTATAATCCTACAATTATGTATTAATGTTTAAGAGTAAATTTTGTAATTAGGAAAGTTATTTAATAATTTCATTATATCAGGCATTGCGTAGATTATTGTTATTTTAGATAGCTTCTGATTCCATCCTTGTCTGTGGAATTATTTCTTTACCATATCCAGCATCCAGCTTATTATCAGTTATTATCAAAGAACTATTTCATAATATATGAATTGATTAGAATTAGCTTAATACCCTTAGAATGAAGAAAAAACTAATAATGAAATAGATGTGAGTAAAATATTGTGGAAGTAATTCAATGCTGGTCGAGGCAGAGTGGTTATTTCTCATCATATTATTAATATTTATACCTAATAATAATGTTATGACAAAGTAAACTACTTCGACACATATTTATTAAAATTATAAATTAGTTTAAATAACTTACCTTTATCTTTTTTAAGAAAGATCACTAATTATAAGTATAACGCACAATATACGCACAACTCACTACTACAACTACACAGCGTGGTCTGTCTGACCAATTGCATCATTGCTAGTCTAGACGCGCTGTTGTTTCTATATTAAATCTTCTGTAAATATACTTACCCTTTAATGTAAAATCACATAACCAAATGAAATATACATTTTTATTGTAAAATTTTTTAACTGTGGTAATAGCACGGTGTAAATTTACCGAAATTGAGATTATAAAGTAAAAACACATAACTTTCTTAGTAAAATATAAATATTTTTATTATTAGGAAGAATATTTAATTTTACTTTACTTATTATGTAATACTGTAGTGTAAATTCACAAATGTATTGGATTTTTACCCCAATTTTTAAGAGTGCATAATAATGACAAATCGTCGGAGTAAAAGTTTGCATACAATTTGAAATAGTACCTAATAAATGAAATACAGTAAAAGTATGTCAGTGTATAAAAAGTATAAAAGTTGTCAATGTACCTTTATTACACTGTAACTTTTATACTAAGCATTTTTGCACCCGCGTTCATGGAAACTTTTGCTTATAATGACATTTTCTATCTCCCGTTCCATTTTGGTACCATATTTTAGAGACACTCTGTATATTATAGAATTATAGTAACTAAGCATATTGTATAATAACTTGGCAATGATGGGAGTGTCCCATAGAACCCCTACATATGAACCCGACGAAAACGCGAAAGAATTTCCTATTCCCAATGAAATATTAGACGATAAAGTATCAACATACCAGCAACTAAAAGTCGAAATGAGTTACCTTTGGTAGTTTCCGGGCCGAATTTTTAACGTCTCGCGATATTAAACTAATAAATCACGGGCGAATGCACAAAAGAACTGACGAGGAACATTACGGTAGGTAAACAAAAGCTTTATTTTAAAACAAACACAGTAACACACACAATAGGTTGGGAAGGAGCGCGATCTTATCGAAGCGCAATGTATTAGCTGCGCTTCTTCTGAAAAACTTAGTTAGCTTTCTTATCAGGGACTCAGACTTTTCGCCGCTGCTTCCGGTATCTTTTTTATTGGATAATTTAAGGTGATGGAGGGCCTTACTGGCAATGCATTGTTTTTCCGTTGGGTTCCAAACGTGTCCCCACATACAAGCGCATCTGAAAATATAATTATTTTAGAAACACTTAAACTATTTTATCCAACATTTGCATATAATAATACTATAATTTCTTTGGTTTTAAAGGAATATTGTAGCCTATAACTCATTAGTGAGTTATAAGTCATAAGTTACTAGTGAGTTACGAAACCCTTGGTTACAGACACAATTTAGGTTGACACTCGCATCCTTTGTAATATTTAAAAATACATTTAATTCGTTAAATGACTTTTTCTGACATTGACAACTTAAAATTTTAAGTTACTTTTATTTATTATTAAAACGAAATTTTATGAGTGTTGGATACAATTTTGTATGGCACTTGTATGTTACGACATATAGATTTTATTGGGTCTATCACTAACAATAAGCGAGATACTATTAAAAAACGAAGAGAAAGCTTTTTATTAAGAAAATAATACATATTGTGATTGTTAGACCTCTTTCAGGCATTTCTATTTTTTTTCAGAATTACGTAAGAATTTACAGATTTAGTTACAATATATTTTGATATATCGGACAATGATATGGTCCAAAATACGTATAAAAAAACATCTTTTAATTTTTAATAGTATCTCGCTTATTGTTAGAGATAGACCAAACAAACCCCAAACTATGCTCGACAGGGAACGTTTTGTCCAAATATACAGGGTGTTCCATTTAAATTAACAAATTTAACATCAGCGGCCATTTTGTTTGGACTTCATTTGTTTTTCAACTATCATTTTCAAAACATTCATAAAAAATCGTGCAACTTTTGTATTTTACATTTTTTTATAACTCTTGTACTGCGGGAACAATTATTACACCCCTATCATGTACAAAGGGCTCAGACAGTAAAAAAAGTTATTTTCAGCCTCGTGTGGAATTTTGCCCGTGGTTTCGACATCAAAAAGCACAAGATCCGAATTTTACAAGCAAGGAGCTTTTTACGGATGAATGTTGTTTTACTAGAGATAGCATACTAAATTTTCACAACATTTATCATTGGTGTGATGCAAATCCTCACGTTTTGTCCAGGGTTATTCATATAACATTTTACCCCCCTTAACTTTCTTATTTTTTGAGTTAGACCAAAATAGATGAAATAAAAGTTGTAGGGAATATTTCTGTGAGTTTAATGAGTTTATGAAAATAGAAATTGTACAGGGCGTTTCAAAGATACGAACCAAATTTATGTCTTTTTTAAATAGAACACCATGTATATTGTTCGATTTTGGAAATCTGTGTCTCTTCCTGATTCCAACAATGTATGTATGCTGTAAATTTACGTAACATTTTGTTCTATATTCTGCTCTGAAAGATTGAATCTCGCCAATAAATATCAAAATCGCTATCTAGAATAAATATGTTATTATAGAACCGAAAATTTGAAACATATAACACTATTTTCCGTACTCCTTTGAAAATGGTGTATAACTTTTATAACTTTTATAGGGTTTACGAAAAAAATGATATTGTTGAATGCACGAAGATTCCCCGCAAGACGTATTCCTCATAAAATAGACTTATGTCAGATACAACATCTACAACAAATGGAGAAAAACTGGTATGTTAAAAAATAAGAAAAAAATAAATAAACCCCACAACGTTATAACTTAAAATATGCAAGAAATGATTTTACTTTACTTTCAAGAAAACCCGAAACATTTGATTCAAGATACTTCAAGGTATTTGGAAATATCCTAGAGTTAGATTCAGAGAGTATTGAAAGTAAACAAATATAAACCATATTGTTATTGACTGGTACAAAAAATATATGGAAATGACACTAATAGGCGGCGCAAAATGAAGATATTTTAGGTTCGTAACGCTGCTTTGACTATTACGTTGCTGCCAGCATGTTTGATATTGCTATTATTATTTGTTTTTATAGTTTATTAGATTCTATCTTGTGGACTGATGTGGCCACTTTTATAGTAAGTGACGTTTTTAATGGAAGTGATTCACATCACTGGGCGTCAGAAAATCCACACCAATATATCTCTATTCAGAGACAAAACAGGTCAAGTATTTTATCTCTTTGATGGACTGAAATACATTGAACTTCTCAGAAGAGAAATATGTAATTTGGTAAATGCTCTTGATGTGCAAAATATTGTCTAACAGCAAGTCGTCGCTTCAGCATACAGAACAAATGCCGATAATACTTATATTCACTGGATAGGTGCCAACGGTACAATTTTGTGGCTTCCCCGAAGTCCAGACTTAATCCCTGTGGATTTTGGGATACTCTAAAGAATAGAGTATATCAAAAGAGAACAAATAATGTAAATCTCCTGAAAGAAATATATCTCAGGAAATTCGCATTTTAAATGAATCTGGTCAAGTCAATAATTTTAAGATAAATTTAATTAAAAGATATAATCTTTGTCTTACACATGATGGAGCAATTATTGAAAATTGAAGTTTCTCTTATGACTAATTATTTAAAATAGATATAATCTAATATTATTATTTTATTCTCCATAGCAATTTTTATATTGACCATTTTGAGATTCAGTATTCAGTCTTTCAAAGCAGAATATTGAGCTAATTGTTAAGTAAACCCACAGCATTATATATATTGTTGAAATCGGGAAGAAGCAGAGATTTCGAAAATCGATTAATATACAGGGTGTTCGATTTAAAAAACATAAGTTTGGTGCGTATCTTTGGAACGCTCTGTATAAATTATATTTTCATAAACTCATTAAACTCACAGAAAGATTTCCTACAAATTTTAACTTATCTATTTTTGTCTAGCACAAAAAATAAGAAAGATAAGGGAGGTAAAATGTTATATGAATAACCCTGTACAGCGGTCTCGGTTCCAGCAACAGTGAACAGGTGTGGTGTTTTTGGTAACAGAATGTGACCGTCATTTGGAAGCATTTTTATTAGCACATCGAAACAACTTCGAACAATTTGTGTTGAGAATATCGCCTATAATCGGTCGATAGCCGCACGATTTAAGGCGTCAGTCCTTTAATCGTGTGCAAATTTCTGCCCGGGTTCGATTCCCGCGGCTGGTAGACCGCAGATTAGCTATGCTTGTACGGAGGATTGGCACTCTCTGTGCAGGTATGGTAGGGTGGAAGAATGTTGGATTGGGTCAATGTGAGAGATTGACACCGGTTGGCATTTGACCACCCCCCTAATTAATGAGGTTTTCCAGGTTTCCCTCATTCCTGCACTGAATGGTGGTTAGGGCCTACCAACATAAGTCGTTCCTGGGCGCAAATGCGGCCTGCGTAATAATAATATGCCGCCTCCTCTCCCGCACAAGTCTCCGACTT